ATACGTTAAATCATTCAAAAATTAACGCGTAGGAATCGCAAGAAAAATAAAAAAATGGATACTAATAATAATACTACGTTAGTCTATTCAATTTCTCTCGTTTCCGGTTTAAAAAAAAAAGACTTTTCCTCGAGGAGAAAAAAAAACAGTAGGGAAATAAAAAAAGAAAAGGATTAAGAGATTTTTTGTTAAAAGAAAATAATAATAATAATAAATATTTTTACGTATTCTCACAAATAACCGAGCGTCGCATACGTTTTTACAAATGGCGCATCGACTTTGCGGTTTTCACTGCGGATAAAATAATTATAAAAAAAGAAAAATTATTATTATTATTATCGCGTTATTAAAAATATTAAAAAAGAGTAGGAAAAAGAATTAAAAAAAAAGAATGAAAAAAAGGGAGAATAAAATAATAAATAAAATTACTTACTCGTCTTTTTCTGCTTCTTCTTCTTCTTCCTCCTCCCCCCAAGAGGGTCCTTCTTCCTCTTTATTGTTATTACTTGATTGATCATCATCATCATCATCATCATTGTTTTGTCGAATTTTGGTGGTGGATGAAACTCCGGTGGAACAAGTTTCAATTGTTTTCTTATCGATTTTTGAAGATTTCGCATCATCAATTGGAGTTGTTGTTGTTGTTGTTTCTTTATTAACATTTTTTTTATTTCCAACGACTTCTTTGTCGGCAACATTATTATCTTCAGTAACCGAACTTACACTTATAAGAGGAGTCGTGGATAAAGAAGATTTTTTTTTACAAGTACCTTGCGTAGGTTTATTAGTCTTATTAAGTCTAGTTTTATTATTATCATTATTATCATCATCGTCATTACTTTTATCGTCTTTCTTTTTATCCGGAGAAATGTCGACCGTGAGTGGCTGATGCTGTTGCGGGTGCACAGTCACTTGTTTGAGAAGAGACGTTGCCGAATTGACCAAACACGTCAACGAGGCTTCTTCTCCCGTGGAAGACACCGAGGGCCTGCTTATATCGTTTTGATTTAAATTTTTCATTTCTTTTCCAGTGGAAATTTTCCCGGGCGAACATGTTTTCGTTATTGTTTCGGTTGTCGTCGTCGTCGTCACCGCCGTCGCGCACGACGACCTCCTCCCGTCTACAACTTTATCCGCGGAATTCGTCGATAATTTTCTCGTTTTCCCTTCGTCACTTTCGGGAAAAGAACTCTGCTGTGGAATGCTGCAAGTTTTACGCAATCTTTCCGATACTTCCACTATTGCCAAACTCAATTCCGACGAAGAACTACCCGAATCCAACTGAGTGGAATTTTTTCTCGATACTCTCGGGTCGTAAGCGTTCAAACATGCGTTACCTTCGTTCTCCCATATTTCTTCTGATGCCATCGAACCCGCGCATGAAGCTATGCCAAGTTTTTTACGCTTTCCATCGTTCGAACTACTCGCTACGCCGCTACAATCCCAAGGACATATTTCATCTTTCTCTACAATCTTTTTACTACTTTCTGCTTCATCCGAAGACCCACCCTGAGGATCCCTGAAAAATTATTATTATTATTTTTCTTTTTTCGATAATCAATTTTATTAAGAACGAATTACGACAAACACGTAACAACGACATAACAATAATTTAAACATCTCCAAAATTTATTAATAATAATAATAATAATAATAATAATAATAATAATAATAAAACGGAATTAACATCATCTGAAAATTATTAAAAATCGAAACGAAGACACATAATAATAACACTTTAAAAAATATATTTTTATTATTATTAAAAAATAAGGAATGTTGTTATTATTAATTAAAACTTTGATAAGATTAAACACACATTGGAAAATTTTTCGGTTGGAAAAACTTACAATATTAAAAGACATTTATATCATAACAAAAGAAAATTTTAATATTTTCAAAAACCATAGAGATATAAAACAATAAAAACAATATAGTCATAGGTAAAAAGTGCTTAGAAGAAAATCGTTGATAAGAAAAGAAAAATATGAGTAGAGAGAGAAAGAAACATTTTTGTGTGTTCAGGCATTATTATTATTAAGATAAAAAACTGAAATAAACTAAATTATGTTCATTTGATTTTGAAAATGATATTTGGAGGTGAGGGGGAGTCGGAGGAGGAGGAAATTATCGAAGGGGGAAAAAAATCGAAAGAGGGGGGGAAAGGGAGAGAAAAAAAAAATTACAAGAAATTTTTCTTTTCATACAAAACTTACAGACTCGACCATAGACATACGTCAGACCTACGCGGAAGGTCTCCCCTGAAAGAATTAGATAATATATCCCTAATGTGAGCCAAATTTATTATTATCATTATTATTAACTCATATTTTATTTTTTTTTTTTTTAACAGCAGAAGGAAAAATTAACTTTTATTTTTGTTCATTAGAGTTAAATAATTATAAAATGACGTAGAAAAAGATTTCCTTCTAAGCAGTTTATCCGCAGGATTATAACTGTCAATTTTAAATTAACATTGAATACGTTTCCCGTTATTTCGCGATTATAATAATAATAATAATAAAAGTACCTGTACGGAATGTCGCTTAAATTTGACTGACTGTGAGAATGAGAAACTTTTGATGTCGAAGTTGTCGTGACTCCACATATGGCCAATTCGTGAGCCGAACCCGATAAACTCCTGTCGCTTCCACGACGTCTGCTCAAAGTCGGTTGTTGTGGCGGCTGCTGCTGCTGTTGTAATAACGTCGAACTCGGTGGTGGAGCCGTTGTTGTTGATTTCTTTTTCACGGGACCCCGAATCCGAAAAATCTAGATTTGTTTTGAGTCGAAATTTTTTCATTTATAAAAAAAACAATAAAAAGGGAAAGAGAAAATTAAATTTGCACTTTGTTTTCGAACCTTTTCTTGTGCGAAGGTTGAACTCCGGCTGCCAATAAATTTTTATAATGATCGGATCTTATAAATCTCGGATAGCAATCTTTTTTCAACAGGAGAGTGTATACGTGTTCGGCAGCGCTGTCGAAAGTAAATCTCGATGGATTTTTCATTTCTTTATGTACTTTTTCCATTGTTTTACTATCGATGTTAATTTCGCAGGGAGCTCCGGGAGCTAAAAACTCTCTGAAATAAAAAAAACAAATTTACGTACACGGGTCGACACGAATTTTTTTTTCTTTAATAATAAATATCAAAAATCGACTGACTCGAATATCTGTTGAACTTTATTTGGTATTTGCTGTTGCGAACTCCTTCTCAAATCGTTAACCGCCATCCAAAATCTAATATTTTCGTGACTGAATTGTTTTCTTAGATAATTTGTAAATTCAACCAAACCAGTCGGATCGGAAACTAAATCTTCGATGGATAAAGCCCATCTTTTCACTCTTTTTTCCGTAGGCACTTCGACTCTGTAATAATATTAAATCCATAATGATTCATCCTTTTAAACTTTTCATTCATTTATCATTTAGTTAGTTTAAAAAACTCACAGAGGACCATTGATTAGCCAAAATGTATTGTCGTCGCTAACCCAGGGGTTAGACGGTTGAGGAGATGTAAAAAACGAATCGTATTCCATAAAAGTTTCAGAATATTGCATTAAATTCTCAAGAGCAGTAGAAACTTTTATTCTCGTACGGGAAAGACACTTTTGAAAAAATTCAACCTGAAAAATCATTTTAAAACTTTTTTTATATATTTTTAACGGCCGACAAACACAAATTTTCCATATATCGCTTTCTTCATTTCCAATTCAAAAATCATCACAAATTTATAAAGTTTTTAAAACTTTTTTTTTTTTTTTTATTATTATTCTTTCGATAAAGATTGCTGACGACGACGTTCGATACGATACTTACATCCTTTTTAAGATCTTCGACAGTTTTTTTCTTTTGCCAAGCTCCCCGATTTCTATGGGGTATCGGAATTGATTCCAAACAACTCGAATAACCCGGCGGTGGCCTGTAAACTCTCCAGTACGCTCTTTCCTGACTGTCGCTAACTATTTTATCACCTTTTTTCCTTTCTTTTGCCAATCTCACCTGTTCTTCCGCTTGCATTGTTATAAAATCCCATTTGTTTTGTAGATTTTTTTTCAAACTTGCCAAAGCCTCCTTAAAAAATATTGAAATATTGAATGAGAGAGTGAGAGAGAAACAAAAACTTTTCCTTCGATTTTCAAACACATCGAAATAAAATTTAAAAGCTCTAATAATAATAATAATGAAAATCTCACAAGTATTTAAAAAAGCTTTCAATTACAAAGCTTTAAATTTGGAAAAACATTTACTTACCACTTCATATTCTTCCAAACCGTGACGTTGTTTATTTCTTAAAGTTCTTTTAGCTAAATAAATTGCATATTCAACTTTATCGGGACTTTTATTTTGCCACGGCCAATAATAAGGAGTCTAAAATTAATAATCATCGTCAAAATTAATAAATAAAAACCACAAGTTAATTTATTAAAATTAAACCATTCAACTAATTTCTTCTAAACGTCATAATAATTTTTTATAAAAAAAAAAAAAAAAACAAACGTACCTGAAATCTATATAACGAACTGTCATCTTTAACGATTAAATTTTTCGAATCGCTCACAGGGAAAAAATATCCACAATTACAAAGTTGATTGGCTATGTGAACGGCTTCAACAGAATCTTCTATGTTTAAACGTTCCATAAGCCATTCAATAAGATCGTAACCTGATAATGATAATAATAATAATAATAACAATACCGTAGAAAAAATTTAAATTTAAAAAAAAAAAATTTTTTTTTTTTTTGAATGAACGAGAGACAAAAAAAAAAAAAAAAATGAGAATTTGGCATAACCATTAACGACATCATTTACAGGTAATAATAATAATAATTTGTTATAAATATTTCATTCTCGTAAATTACCCCCCTCCCCCTCTCCCGTATTTTTTTCTTTCATTTTTTTTTATTAAATAAACGTAAAAAAAAAAAAAAAAAAGATCAAAAGTGTAATTTAAAATAAAGACTTAA